TAAGTGATTTGCTCAAAGTTATGCAGGGTTGGTATCACAGCCAAGACTAAAATCTATTCATTGTTGTTGTTGTTATTGTTACCACCATGACTTATCTGCTTTCTCCCTTTGCCCCTGGTCCTTTTCTTCTATTGATGAGCCCATTTCAAAACCTCCATTTTGAGGAAGGGCCTAGACCAGCTATCCTCATTTTTTGGACTTCACCACTATGCTCTTGGTAGGTTCTTTCATTCCACACTGCCCCACCCCTCCCTCCTCCCTTCACTTCTCTTTCATGTTGTTATTGTTCAGTGGTTTTGGTCATGTCTTAGTCTTCTGTGACCCCATTTGGGGTTTTCTTGGCAAAGATACTGCAGTGCTTTGCCATTTCCTTCTCTAGCCCATTTTACAGACGAGCAACTGGGGCAAACAGGGTGAAGTGACTTGCCCAGGGTCACACAGCATGTCTAAGGCCAGATTTGAACTCAGGAAGATGAGTCTTCCTGACTGAAGGCTCTATCCACTATGCCACCCTTTTGTGTATTGTTTTCCAAATATGGTTTGCCCAGCCTTGCTTGGAACATACTATGTACTTCAAAAAAAATAGTAGTTGACTTGCATGTAACTCACCAATTTGTCTTAGTTCCAGGTAGAAGAATGCCATTAAAATATTTCTATCTTCTTTTATGGCCTACTGCCATGATACCATTTCCTTCCTAGGTCTCAGATCAATCCAGATTAGATTCAGAAATGAAGCCCTTATGTTTTACTATAGATGTTTTTCTAATTTTTCATGGTGCTTTAACTTATAATTATATTCACATTTATATATGCTTAATATATTAAATAACTTATACCACTCTGACTCTCATTACTTGGCCAATAGGTCCCTGGCCAAGCCCTACTTGGTTATTGTTTGGGCCTGGATTGGCTCAGAATGAATATGAATATAAATAGCAATTGTTTATTTTGGCCAGAAACCCTGAGGGTCTTCCCCTCCTAGATTGATTTTTTTTTGACTAGGTAAAGAGGCCATTCTCTCTTTACTTTTCTTTTTCTTTTTTTTTTTTTTGGCTAGGTAATGGGGTTAAGTTACTTGGCCAGGGTCACACAGCTAGTGTGGAAGTGTCCAAGGTCATATTTGAACTCAGGTCCTCCTCACTCCAGGGCTAGTGCTCTATCCACTGCGCCACCTAGCTGCCCCAAGAGGCCATTCTCCGTTTCATTTCTTATTACGCCTTAATCACTGAATGGACATTGCCTCAGTCAAACTGAGACCTGTTAAAGACCTTAGCTTGAAAAGGCCAAGTTCCCCCACTGCATCCTGGGCTTTCTCCAGTTTTCCTGAGCCACTGGATCTTGCCACTGGACCCAGATGGCTCCTGGAGGAGAAAGTGAGGCTGGTGACTTTGCACAGCCCTCTCTCACTTAAATCCAATTCACTTGCATGTCATGGCATCACCTCCCTTTTGTCATGGTGGTGATGATGCCTAGAGGTTTAGGGATGCTGGGACCTGAGATCAGAGGTCACAACACTGCAGGTCCTACCCCAAAGAATTCAACCCACGCCTTCTTTCAGCCAAAGACAAGATTTACTAAAGATCCGCCATATTAGGCAGACTCTTAAGGAATCTGAGCATCTGTGAGCTATTGGCTAGATTGTAAAAATCCATGCACCTTAGCAGAGACAAGATGGACCTAATATACAGAAAGACTATGGGAGGTATCTAGGAGTGGCCAAGTAGTCCATGAGGTAATAGAATTCCAGGGACCTGGGCCCTGAGGCCAAGGGAGAATAGAGCCTAGATAGGATTAAGGGTGGGAAGTGGCCTGGGGCCATAGGGTTGTAGGACAATGGAGGGCTAGGCTAGGTCAAGGGTAACAGAATTGGGAGATTGGGTGTAGCCACAATGAAAGGCCAATTGATGAAATTATGGCCTCAGGGGAACGCCCCGGAGACCTCCTTGATCAAGTGGGAGAATTCAAGGACAATCCAAGGGTTTTCTAGGGCCAGTAGATAAATGGGGCCCAAATGTGGACAGAGATCTGCTTGGGCCGGTGCACCCCTATCAATGGTTCTCTTCAAGAACAAAGGACAAACAGCAGCAACAAGAACAAAGTACTTTATTAATTTAAAGTATTGTGTAAATGCTATTTTTGTACCTGGACATCTTTTTGGTCATATTTAACTGGCAATTCTCTGTCCCTTTGTTTTCATGAATGTTTTGAGAGAGGAGGTCTAAGTATTTGATTCCAGATGCACACAGCAGAGTTAATCAGGTCTGGTATCTCATCTTCAAGTAAAATAAGACTTATTAATTGGAAAACATTCATATCATAGGATAATAAAGTTTAGAACTGGAAGTGGTTACGGAGGTCAGTTAGTCCAATCAACCCCTTTTACATATGAGAGAATGGAAGCCCAGGGTAAGGGGACTTGGCCAAAGTGACGTGAGTAGTGACAAGAGGCAGCATTTGGATCCTTAGTGTTCTTTGGTACCGTATGTTATTTATTAACCCAGTTTGTGAGATACATTGGGTTGATATATTGTAATGCATTACATATTGATTTAAAATCATTTGGATTTTATGCAACTAATTCATTAGCGTTTCACAACTAGCTAGTATATACAGGAACATTTTAGAGCTCCTTGGCTAAGAGCCAGCTGCAGTTTGAACCATAGAAATGGTTATAGCCCTAAGGCGGGGTGGGTGGGTAGGTGGGGGGTGGGGAGAATAATCTTCAAAGACTCTTGTTTGGTTGATCAATCCAACAGACCTTTTTCTAACTATTTACTAGGGACTTGGTACTTTTCTGTTATCAACTAAACAGTCAGTCAACAATCATTTGAATGAAACTGATAGTAGAAATCTCAGGCTTTCCATGCACTTCAAAGGAAAATAATGCATTTACTGTCTCTAAACTAGTGACTGTATCTGAGAACACAACTTTATGTGACTCTTCCAGATAGTAAATCTAGCAGAAGAATACCTGGAGCAATAGTTCAGCAAGTTTGACTGCTTTAGTACTTAAGCATCCTATAATCAGTGAGAACATAATAATATAGCATATTTTATTATGGATCATTATATTTTAATATACAGCAGTGTATGTGTGTGTAACTAAGCACAAATTCTTTGCCTACATGCACAATCTTTCTTTTAATTGTTTTGGTGGGGGGGCATTTAAATACAAAAACAACCCTTTTGAAGATTATTAGTTCTGATTCCTAAATAATTACTTTTTTAGATAAGGGTAGGATTCCTTTCCTCCCTCCTCCTTTTCTTGGTCCTTATAGTTGAAATGATAATGAAAACTAATTAGACAACAAGTCTGTTAAGCACATTTTTTTGGTTTTATTTTTTGCAGTAATGCCTCTAATGGGTAAAATGAGGTTAATTAGTATTGCTGCTTTTCACATCTGATATAATGTAGCAGAGAAGAGAAATAGGTAATAAAAAAACCAGATAATAATAGTTTACATTTATATTGTGCTGAAGTAGACCTATCCTCATTCTACAAATGGTTAGACCAAAGTTTGGAAAGCTGAAGTTAACTTGTCCAAGGTCACAGGTCTAGTAATCGGCAGAACTACCTCTCAGGGTCCAAAGTCGTTGCATTTTTTTATAATGCCTTGCCTTCTGCATCATTTAACCTTCACTGGCACCATTACTTTTTCACACTCACCATGCCCTATCTCATGAGCCCAGATCTTGACTAGTCTCTCCTTTGCTAGGGGCCTGACTTCATCTAGCGAATGTGGGCAGAAAGATCTTGAATTCCTTAAGAGATCAAGGACAAGTTAAGTCTAGAAATATTTATCAAGGGCCTACTATGTGCCTGGCACTGTACTAAACAATGAGAATACAAAGAAATGCAGGTCTATGGTCCCTGCCCTCAAGCAGTTCGGAGGGTTTTTTTGGGGGAAAGAACACAGAAACAACCATGTGTATATAAGATATTGATATCTATGGATCTAACTAATCTCTATATAGCTCTCTAATACCTATCGAGACCTAGAGTTATAATCTCTCTACATTGCATATACAAGATATAGACAGGTATCTCTATATAGATATATTTCATAAACAAGATAGATAGGTATGCCTATGTATATCTTGTCTATGCAACACATCTATATAGGTACAGAGATATATATTGCAGACAAGATATAGATAGGTGTCTATGCAATATATCTCATATGTATGTATATATATATATATGTATATCTTATCCTCTATAGGGATAGATATATTGGGATATATAGGAATAGATATATTGATATATATACAGGGATATATATTTAGACACCTATCCATAGGTGTCTAAATCTTGTGTGTTCACTACAGCTATATCATCCATCCATCTATTTATCTATTCATCTATCTAGTGTAAATGGAAGATAATCTCAAAGAGAAGGTACTAGCCTTTGGGGGAGAGGGAAAGGCCTCTCGCGGAAGCTTGGGGGTGGGGGTGGGGGTCCGAGCTGAGGCTCGAAGATCATTATTCTGCAAAGCAGGCTGCCAGTTCCGGGGATGAGTTTGGAAAGTGCCCGGCGACAAGGGGAGGTTTCCTGCATTGACTTGGGATGCACTTGGAGGCCCCAGGGTGCCCCGGCCTGGAGGCAGCGGGGTGGGGGGCTGTCCCTGGCGACCCCCCACCAGGCTGTGCACACCTGAGCTCTCTGGTTCATCCCTGTACCTCTGGGTGAGCAAGGACATGGCAAGGACAGCCATTTCCTTCTTCTCTGTCTCGTAGGGAGACAAAGAAAGAGAGGAGGTATGGCGGCCGGTCTGCAGCCAGCGAGGGTTCGGCCCGGCTCGCGGCAGCGCGAGGCCCCGGGCACAACCCAGCCCACCCCGCGGCGAGGAGGGCTCTCTCCGCGGGGGCCCCCCACCCCCCGCCCCGCTCGGCGTCCGCGGGCCCCAGGCGGAGTCCAGGGGCCTCTTCGGCCTCCGTCCCCCTCCGCCTATTCCCATCCCCCCCCTCAGGTGCTGCGCGTATCCCTCCGCCGCGGCGAGCCTTCCTTGTATGTAGCCCTAGGATCGGGCTTGTCGGCAATACCCGGATGGAAGGGTTATGGCCGCCATCGGGGACTCGCCCGCCATGGAGCTCACGCCAGGTATTTTCCCCAAGCCGAGGCGATAAGGTCTCCTCGAGACCCAGGGGCTTTTGAGGGGGGGGACTCCCGGGGGTCTTGAGGAGGAGTCGGCTGTGCCCCGGGGCCCCTCGAGCCGGCTTGGCGGCTGCTCAAGAACAAGAGTCCGTCAAGTAGTTCCTGCTTCCGTGTAACTCGCCGCAAACTTAATTTTCAAAATTTTTTTGGAAATTAATTCCCCAGTAGAGTTTCGAGGCCTTGACAAGGCCGGCCTCGGGGCCTCTGGGCTCGCCCTATCCCACCCTGGCTCCACGGCCCCCCGGGAGGGCGGGCGGACTGGGCGCGGCGGCCTATGTACTGTGTGCCTCCGCGTGGACGCGCCCCAGGGGGTCGGAGTGTGTGCGGGGGTGCCCGGCCGAGGTCCCCTCCCGGGACGCCCCGCGGCCCCAGCAGGGGCTGCCAGAGGGAGAGCACCCCCCGCGGGTGCCTTCCGCAGGGCCGGGGGCTTCGGGGAGCCCCGCTTTACCGCCGCTTTGAACTTGGGCGCGCTCCTTGTCTTCCCTGAAGCCCCTGACGGCGTGCTGGCGCCCCCTCCCCCTGCCCGGGCCCCGGGTGTGTCTGCACCCCCCCGGGCCGGTTGTCAGGTGCAGCGGCGGTGGCCTGGCGGCTCTTGATATACTTGGCGAGGGATTTTGGGGGACACGCCTGGACGCCCCAGGTTATTCACCTGGTGTAGGCTTTTTGTCGATCCACCAGCCAATCAGCCCACGAGCACAAAGGCTGCAGCTGCCGGCTGCCGAAAAGTGTCTCCGAGGGTCTTCCCCGGGGCGTCGTGGGTAGGTTAGCGTGGGGCTGGAAGGGGAAGAAATATGTTGGTCCTAGAAAGACTTTCTGAAAGTAAGCCTCATGAGGGCAGGGGCAACTTGTCCCTGTCACTGCCGCGCGCTGCCCTCCCTCCGAGCGGGTAGCATGCATTAAATAACCTACTGCGTGCAAGGCCCTGGGCCTCACTCCCAAAAAGGGCACTTAGTAACGTATTTGGGGAATGAAATTGTGAACTTAGCCTTTGCAGTTGAACTAATGGGCCTTCTAACACATTTAGACCAAATTGGAAGATTGTGGTTGCTTGGTTACGTTGCAGCTAGAAAATGTGAAGGCACCAAAGTGATTACATGGGGACAGGTCGAGTTTGAGACTCTCAATAGAAGTCGATCACCGAAATACAAAGCCCCCCCCCCCGAAAAAAGAAAGAGTCCCTGCCCTCGAGGAGCTTGTATTCTATATAAGGAAATAAATTGTACTCAAATAAAATAGGAGGTGATTTTGGGGAGAGGGAAAAACTGGATGGAATTGGAAAGGCCTCACAAAGGAGTTGGCATTTGAGATAAGGTTTGAAGGCAATGAAGTATTTTAAGGGGAAGAAGTCAAGGAGGTAGTATATTCCATACAATCTTTGCGGAATCAAGGGATGGGATAACATGCCTGTGGAACAGCAAAAAGGCCAGTTTGACCAAACAGTAAAGTCCAGTGAAGGAGAGTAATGTATAAGCCTGGAAATATAATCAGCCATACTTGAGTTACTCTACTGGTAATGGAGTCCATATTTTTTGCTCCTTTTAACTCTTCCTTGATGTATTCACCAAGGAAACTGGATTATCACCTTTTTTAGTTTTGTCCATCCATTTTATTATAATATTTCAGAACCTAATTACAGATTAGGTACAGATTTGTATGGATTTAGAGCCTTTCATTTGAGTTGTGGTACATTGGGAAGAGCTCTAGATTTGGAGTCAGAGGACCTAGGTTTGAATCAATGGCTCTGCCACATATTTTGATTGCCACGCATATTTGATTTTGACTTTAAGTCATTTAATCTCTCATGTGTAAAATAAAAGCGTTGTACTAGATGACATATAAGGGGTCTTACTAGCTTTAAATAAATGATCTTATGATCCTGTTTTCTTAAAATTGTAACTAAGACTTGAGTTTATATTAATATCGTAATACAAAATAAACCTGAACTATATACAGTATATTTGTGTTTCTATATGAATATAAAAAGAGGTTGACTCTTCAGGAAGACCATATCAGTTGATTTTTTAAATATTTTTTTCCAATTACATGTAAAAAATCTTAACTTTTAAAAAAAAAATTTGAGTTCCAAATTTTCTCCCTCTCTCCCCTCACTCCTTGAGAAGGCAAGCAATTTGATATAGGTTATGTATGTTCAGTCATACAAAATATATATCCATATTAGCCATATTGGGGGGGAGGGGACAGACAAAAAAACAAACCAAGAAAAACAAGTTTAAAAAAAGTATATTTTGATCTGTATTTAGACTCCCATCAGTTCGTTCTGTGGAGGTGAATTTCATCCTAAGTCCTTCAAAATTGTCTTGGGTCATTGTATTGCTGAGAAGAGCTAAGTCATTCACAGTTGCTTGTCATACGGTATTACTGTTACTGTGTGCAATGTCTTCCTGGTTCTGCTCACTTCACTTTGCATCGGTTTATATAAGTCTTCTCAGGCTTGGGAAGTTGATTTTGACTTCAAGATTAATTGGTCCTAAGAAAGCTGTAAAAGTAAATTTTGAGCTTCAAGGGTCTAAGGGCACAGGTTTTACAGCTAGAGCAGAATTCAGAGTCATTTAGTCCAGTGCCTTCATTTTTTTTTTTAAATACAGATGAGCCCCAAACAGGTGAAGTGACTTGCCTAACATAGGTAGTTTAGTAAGAGGTAGAATTGAAATTTGAATTCAGTTCCCCTGACTGCCGATCCAGGACTCTTTCCACTATATTCTTATAAATATAATACAACCTCATTGTAAAGAATTTGGCAGTTGATTCAACATCTAGGACAAAATTATTTTTAAAAAATCAGAAATATTTGAGTACCTACCATTTGTAAAGTACAATAAAAATGAATTTGAAAGCGCTTTGAAAAGGATAATTTTATGAAGGATTCTTACTCCCACACTTCAGGTCAAATCATATACCTTATCTTAATAATGCATTTGTCAGTATAACATAGAAAGTTTATGTAAGATTTTTTTTCTTGTATGTTAAAGGGTTTATGTATATCTTTCTAATTTAGTATAAAACTTAAAAATACAAATATTTTTATATGTGCTGAATATTTTTTACTCTTTTGGAACTTTATTGTCCTTAGTTTCCATTGGAGCACTTAGTAAATATTAATTGGTTGTGAAAGACTGCCCTGATGCATAAATCTCAAATAGATACTATCAAAGAGCTATGGACAAAGTGTTATGATTAAGATGGAAACTTTTAATTAGCAGAGCTGATGAGTTTTTAAATTAAAATATGAACAGCTTGCTCTCAATATTGCTTTCATACTGGGTAATGTGAGATACTGGATCGTCAGTGAAAAATTAAGATATTTCTTGCTAGGTAAGAAGTGATTCATGTTTTTCAGGTAAAGTATCTTAATTTTGTATTTTGCTTATAAATATTTCTTAATTGGTTTCTTGAACCCTTGTGTTAAATATTAAGTATAGTAATATCAACAGTGTAAAAACATTTACCTTTTGGGATTCATAATTTTAAAACTTTGATCTTCATTTTCAGATTTCATCTCTTCTTTTGATCAGTGTTCCTGATTGTGGCTTTTTTTCAAGCATTGTATTGTGTGCCTTTTGTTCCTTGAAGAAGAGGGGTGCTAAAGATTGAAGTACTGGAGTATAGTTTTCTTTAAATAGTAAGTTAATGGTTTTATTACTGATCTAAGTAAAATAAACAAATCGTTTAACCTAAAATGAAAACATGGAGAATCAGAAAATAATGCACATTTCTAGATGTTTAAGTAAAATAATAATATGGAAGAAAAATTGCACAATGCTACCTCCAGGTTTGTAGATGACAGTAAGGCTTATGGGTAATAAAATTGTAAGATAGTAATAGCAAGAGACTAAACTGTAGTTGGAATGTCTTCCTAGATTATACTATGAACAGAAAAATGATGGTGCATTTTATTGTGAGCAAGTTAGAGGTTATGTTCTTAGGGGGAAAAAAAACAACATACTATAGATGTATGGGCTCCGAGCTACTAGTCACAACTCAGCAAAAGGACTAGGAAGTTATTGTAGAGTTGTATAGATCGGTGGTATCAAACTCAAATAGAAATGGATTCCTGTGGGCCACATTTTGACTTAGGAAACCACAATTTAATGTTACCTGTGATTATTTTGTTAAACATTTCTCAATTGCATTTTAATCTGTTTTGGTCACTCTCAAGATTGCAGCTGCAAATTTGACACCTCTGGGATAGATCATTCCAGAATATAGGAGCCTTATGATATTCTACTGTGGCCAACAAAGTGTAGGGTGTTAGAAACAAAATAGAAACTATCCATCCCAAACAAAACCATGGTCCATCCCCTTCTAGAATACTATATTTGATTCTTGTCACTATGATTCAAGAAGGCATTAATAGAACTGGAGAAGGGCCAAAGAAGGGTAACTAAAATGACTCAAGAGATGGAGCTATTTACTGTATAAAAAAAGATTGAAAAAGATATTGGTTGTTTTGGTCAACAAAAGTTGAGAGAAGATAGGATTGAAGTCTGTAAAATCATGAATGGTGCAGGTAAGGTGAACACATCTCAAAATTAGAGTGAGACTTGGAACAAGGTAAGTTTAAGACAAAAAAAGGAAGTGCTTGTACCCATAGTTGATAGTAAATTTATAGAACTGATTACCCTCAAGAAATGTTATGGGCTGAAAATATAAATTTAAAATATTTACCATAAATTCAGGAACAGAAGACCTGTAGTAAGTGAAGCCGACATGTTTTAGAATGTGTCTGTAGCCTTTGAAGTTGACTAGAAAATAGTAAATGTAATATGTTATTTTTATATGTATAATATCTATATGAAATATATACACAGAATATAAACAAATTAATATAAAGTATATATTAAATATATAAAACACATACATGTTGATGTTTCATACATATGTTTCCATATGAAACTTATATTCAGTATAAACTTAATGTATGTAAGGATGCGTACATATATGTGTGTGAACATATACGTATATACTACAAGCAGTTTAGAAGATGGTTGTATTTAGATACATACATATCACTCACTCATTTATTAAGTGCCTGCTGTGTGTGGAGCATTGTGTGAAGTGCTAGGGATACAAAAGAGGCAGAAGACAATTCTCGCTCTGGAAGAGCTCACAATCTAACAGGAGGGAGACAACAAATAAATATATATGAACAAGCTATGGACAGGATAAATAGGAAATAATTGGCAGAGGGAAAACACTAGAATTAAGAGGGATTGGGAAAGGTTCTTATAGAAGATGGGATTTTAGTTGGGACCTAAAGGAACCCAGGGAAGCCAGGATGTGTGTGTGTGTGTGTGTGTGTGTGTGTATCTCCTATTCTATCCCATCCCATCTTTTTCACCTATATAACTTCAATCCTACCTCCCCCTTCTCCCAACTTTAACTCTGTGGCTATATCCTCTTTCTTTATTGCCTTCAAACTGGCCAAGTCTCTTCCATCCTTAAAATTTCATCCTTTGCTAGATCTTACTTTCTGCTCAAGCTATTTTCCTATATATCTTCTTCCTTTTCAATCATACTCCTAGAAAAAGTTGTCTACACCACTGTGTTTGCATCCTTTCCTCTCATATGCCTTATTTTTTTATTTTGGAAAAAATAGAACACAGAGAATACTTTATGAAACTGTTTCATACTACTTAATTTTGTAAAAAGTATATAAAAAGTTCTCCCATCACTTTTAAAACACTCATGGTTGTTTGTGGTTCCTTTTGAACTTTTTCTTTTCTCTTTTTTGGGAAGAGTTTGGAGTGGGACATCACTCTTGCTAACCTTTCCCTTTTGTTCCCTTTCCTTCCAAGACATAGTAAGTTCCACTCTTCCTTCCTTCCTTCCTTCCTTCCTTCCTTCCTTCCTTCCTTCCTTCCTTCCTTCCTTCCTTCCTTCCTTCCTTCCTTTCTTTCTTTCTTTCTTTCTTTCTTTCTTTCTTTCTTTCTTTCTTTCTTTCTTTCTTTCTTTCTTTCTTTCTTTCTTTCTTTCTTTCTTTCTTTCTTTCTTTCTTTCTTTCTTTCTTTCCCTTTTATCTTCCCACCCCCCCAAAAAAAACCCTCTCAGAACAGAACCAGTCCACCACTGAATCCTCTGTTCTTATTAACTTCCTTAACACCTTTTGTTCTGAAGGGACACTTGTTTCTTCCACTCCATCGGAGAAGGAATTAGTTAACATTACACTATCATATAGTTCCTTCTACTTCTCCAGTAAATTTGCCTTTCTAGACTCTTGTATTTGTATTATAAAGTGCCTACTTTAATCTGGTCTTTTTATCAGAAATATTTGAAAGTTCTTTATTCCGTTAAATGTCCATTTTATCCCAGTAGTCTTATACTCAGCTTTGAAGGGTAAGTTATTTTTTACTGTATAATCCTATCTTTTTTGCTTTTTGGAATATTGCATTCCAAGATCTTCTCATTTAGAGTAGAAGCTATGAGGTCTTATGTGATTCTGCAGTTCTTTGGTACTTGAACTGCTTCCTTTTAGATGTATAGAGTATTTTTGCCTTGATGTGGTAGCTCTGTATTTTGGCTATATCACTCCTTGGACTTTTCCTTTTGGAGTTTCAGAAATTGGTGAATGCATTCTCTCTTTGCCTTCTGTTTCTAATTGGTTTTGTTTATGACTTTTTTGAAATCTAGTGTGCAGAATTTGGAGCTTAAATTTTTTGTTTAAAAAAATGATGTTTTTTATTCTTCAGTAAAACAAATCATTAGCTATCTTGATTTATAAAAAAGAAAGAAGAAAACTAAATTACCATTGTAAAAAATGAAAAAAGATGAATTTACAACTAATGAGAAATAAAAGCAATTATTAGTAGCTGTTCTACCCAACAATAAGTCAATAAGACCAACAATCTAATATTTATTTATCTATCTATGCATCTAACTTTCTATCTCTTTATTTATTTTTGGCTAGGCACTGGGGTTAGGTGACTTGCCCAGTGTCACCCAGATAGTAAATGTTATGTGTCTGAGGCTGGATTTGAACTCAGGTCCTTCTGAATCCAGGGCTGGTGCCCTATCCACTGTGCCACTTAGTTGCCCCTACAATCTAATATTTAAGAAAAAAAATAGAAAAAATTGTAAATGAAGTCCCCAAGGAAAAATACCTTAGGACCATGGGGATTTACAAGTGAATTCTACCAGACATTTTAAAAATGATTCTCATACTATATGAACTGTTTGGAAAAAAAAAATAGGTGAAGAATCGATCCCACCAAATTCCTTCTGTGATACAGATATGATCATTTTTAATTTTTTAAAAAATTTTTAGGGGTGAGGCAGTTGGAGTTAAGTGACTTGCCCAGAGTCAGACAGCTAGTGTTAAGTGTCAGAGGTCAGATTTGAACTCAGGTCCTCCTGACTCCAGAGCCAGTGCTGTGTCCACTGTGCCACCTAGCCGCTCCTGATATCATCTTGGTACCTAAATCAGGGAGAGTCAAGACAGAAATTATAGCACACTATGCCTACTGAATATTCATGTAAAATTTTTAAATAAAATACTAGTGAGAATACAAAATAGCACAAAAGTTTTACACAGTGACCAAATTGGGTTTTATGGGTTTATACCAAGAATTCATGGCTGGTTCAGTATTAGGAAAACTAAATAAAATTGACTATGTAATAATAAAAACATTTAAAAATAATATGAGTATATCATTTCAGAAAAGCTTTTGACATGATACAACACCCATTCCTCTTAAAAAATACTGGAAATTATAGGAATGGAGCTTTTCTTAAAAAGAAGAATAAGCCTTATCTGTAATGGAGATAAAGGAGAGGCATTTCTAGTAAGATCAGGAGTAAAGCAAGGATGTCCATTATTACCATTACTACTTAATATTGTACTAGAAAAGTCCTGCGAAACCCGAGGCCTGCCAAAGGGTTTCAGGTCACAGGTTGTGGAGGCCTCTACTAGAAAATGCTATAGTAATGAGACAAGAAAAAGAAATTGAAGGAATGAATAAGCAAAGAAGAAACAAAATTTTCACTGATGATATGATTGTTTACTTAAGAACCTTAGAAAGTTAGCCATAAAAACCTAAATGAAATAATTTCAAAATCAGCAAAGTTTCAGGATATAAAATAAACCCAGAAATGATCCTCATTCTTTATATTACCACAAAATCCAGTAAAAGAGATAGAGAAATTCCATTTAAAATAACTGCTGATGTCCTAAAAGATACTTGGGGAGTTTACCTATGAAAACACACACAAGGACTATATGAACATAATTACAAATCACTTTACACAAATAAAAATGTCTAATTGTTCATGAGTAGGCTGACACAATATAACAAAGATGAAAGTAACACCTAACTTAGTTTACTTATTTCTTACCATATCAATCAAACTACCAAAAAATTATGTTAAGAAAGCTAGAAAAAAACTCGTCTGGAGGAACAAAAGTCAAGCATATCAAGGGAATCAGTGAAAAAAGGAAGAAGAGGGACTAGAAATAGCAGCTCTCAAGCTCTTCTACATATCCATAATTGTCTCAGTAGTTTGGTGGTAGGTAAGAAATAGATTGATTGGTGCAACCGATCAGGTGCACAGATAATGCAGAAACAGACGAGTACAGTAGCCTAGTGTTTGCCAAAACAAGACATTCTAACTACTGGAGCAAGAAAT